CTGTATCATTAAATATTGTTTTGATAGAGTTAAGTGAAGTTAATGAGGTATGTCTTCTTGTATAAGTATAAGGTTTCAAAAATCGATTATATTGTTTAAAAAGTGCTATTTTACAGTGCACAAAGAATGTGGCTTATTAGAGCAAAATTGAAAAGACATGAAGACCTCAAGGGAAAAAACGGCAGAGTCCATTTTTTATTTTTTTGAGTTATCACCCCTGTCTAATAGCCAGTTAAAAATAGAAGGTGCTGAATTAAGTTTAAAGGAGAAAAAATGGCTAAGTCCATAAGAAAAATTATGGAAACGAAAAATCCGTTTACAATGGAAAAGGAGCATAGTCCAATGTTTACAATGGAAAAGGGGGCTAAGTCACTAATATCACGTGACATTTGAAGTCACATGATTTTAAGGTCCAATGAGAGATAGCTCTAGTGTAAACAAAATTTAAAGATGGCGACTGATTTGCTCAGCTGACCGACAAACCGAGGAAAAAGTAAACTGACAGACCTGATTTTTTTAAAAATTTTCCTACCACAAGAACACAAAACAAATTAACATAAGCACGATAAATTGGATTTAAAACATTAAAATAATAAAATTTGTATTTTTAAATCAGATTTTACCCTTGTTTTTTGTTAAATTCACTTAATTAATGTGTGTGTGTGTCTCGTCTCTTTCGCTGTCGCTCTAGTGACTAGAGTCTAGTCTATCACTGTTTGTTGCATGTCTGTGTCTCTCCCTGTCAGCCTATCTCAGATACTTTGTATGTCTCTCTCCCGGTCACTCTAACTTGGTGTCTGATTCCTCCTGAACTCTCTATCTTCGAGTGTCTGTCTCACTATCTCGGTCTGTTACTCTTTACGGATTTTACTCATACAGTTACAGCTACTGCTAGAGAAAAAAAAACTAATATTGGGCCAAAATTGTAAGAAGCACATCAGAAACTTAGAAAGTATGATTATAAATCTGATTTTCGGGTTAAATACTTAATAATATATTTTTTAATGATAGTTCTAGGCATGATCCATATTCTTATACTTATAGTGTCAACAAAAATGATTTGCCTAAGGCAGGGGTCATTATATTGGGCCAAAATTGTAAGAAGCACATCAGAAACTTAGAAAGTATGATTATAAATCTGATTTTCGGGTTAAATACTTAATATATTTTTTAATGATAGTTCTAGGCATGATCCATATTCTTATACTTATAGTGTCAACAAAAATGATTTGCCTAAGGCAGGGGTCATTCGTAAATTAGTTAAATTACACGTCACGCTAAAAATGACCATTTTAGACGACCCCTCCCCCTGTCACTGTCATGAAATGTCACTAATTCTCCCCCCCCCCATGGCGTCCGCAGGTAGGGGCAAGGTGGGGCACGTGCCCCCCCCTGGATTAATTGGATAAAATTTTTTAGACAAAAATAGACAAAAACTGTATTAAAGTAAAGAGAAAATAAAGAGAAAGTAACTAAGCTGATGTCCTGTCCCTTCGTTCACCATACAAATACGCTACAGTAAATTAAAACTACATTTAAACATTACTAAAAAAATTTTGAAAATTATAATAAACCATTAAAAACACTAAAAATAACTAGATAAAACACTGTAAATATCACTCACCTCATGGAAATTTAATCGATTTTTTTGCCCCCCCCCCCCTAGTTTTCTGCGGGCGCCCATGTCCCCCCGTGACACATCACCTAAAAATTAAAAACATACATACAATTTTCATAACTAAATTAAGATATTTTATTCTTCAACATTTTCCCAAAATGCAGCGGTTCTAAACTTGTTGGTCGCGACCCCTTTATGGGTAAAATGACTCTTTTAAAGGGTTCACCTAAGACAATCGGCAAATGCATATCCTCTACAGTTATGAAGTACCGACGAAAATAATTTTATGGTTGGGGGTCGTTACAATATGAGGAACTGCATTTAAGGGTCACAGCTTTAGGAAGGTTGAGAACCACTGCAATAATGATTTAGATGTAGTATTATTAGAAAACTGAGTTTCATGGTACCTATATTATAATACCTGAGGCAATTTTGACATCAAATTAATGTTTTAAAAATTAATTAAATTAGAAACTTTTAGAGGTTAAAAAAAAAGTGACGTCACAATTTTTTACCCCCCCCCCCCTTTCCCCTTGTCACAAATTCTCGACCCACCCCCTCTGAGCTTAACGTAATTTGCCAGTGACCCCTAAATGTGAATATTTTCTTATAAAATAGTTTTAAATAGATATTTATCAATGATCAAACCTTGATAAATTACTACAAGGGAAAAAACGGCAGAGTCCATTTTGACCTCACTCTCTACTATCATGAAATAAATCATGGGCTAATTATGTTATTATTACCCATGACGTCATTGGCATATTTATTTAAAATTTGTGCAAGGAAAGGCAGGAGTCATTCCCCTTTGTTGATATTGTTGTTAATTTTATTGGATGAAGTGTCGGAAGTGGTGGCGGCGAAGGAATATTTTAATAACCGGTTGGAACAAGATTTCGTGTGAATAATTAACGAAGATTTAAAGAAAAGTTAAATTTTGTGGTTTTAAAACTGAAATTTTATGTTTTTGGAATTCATGCAGAGAGTGTGGAATTGTCAGAATGTTAGAAATATTGATGAAAAATAGAGAAATTAATTTTCGTATATGGTACTTGAAAATCATGCGGATCTAGAAAGGTGTGATTAAATATTACGTCACTGTCGTCTTATTGTGCTCCGGTGTCCGGCGGTAAGTTCAAAATATCCAAAATTGTCATGGGGAGGAGCAGTTCGACTCATATCTATATGAATATATGTGGCGACGCTCGTGTGGCACTAAAGATCAAATGAGGGAATTTTTAAATGTCATAAAAATTGTGTATCCGCCCCATTTACGAGATCTTGCTTCGTAAAGAGTGAGTAAAATAACGAATTATCATTTGAAAATTTCATTGTTTTTTGTAGCTTTTTAAAATCGTCCATTACCATGCATTTCTGAATTTTAGGGTTAAGGTTAGGGTTTAGGGTTTATTGTTAGGGTTAGGTTTAGGGTTAGGTTTAGGGTCAGGTTTAGGGTTAGGTTTAGGGTTAGGTTTAGGGTTAGGTTTAGGGTTAGGTTTAGGGTTAGGTTTAGGGTTAGGTTTAGGGTTAGGTTTAGGGTCAGGGTTAGGGTTAGGTTTGGGGTCAGGGTTAGGTTTAGGGTCAGGTTTAGGGTTAGGTTTAGGGTTAGGTTTAGGGTTAGGTTTAGGGTCAGGGTTAGGTTTAGGGTCAGGGTTAGGGTTAGGTTTAGGGTCAGGGTTAGGTTTAGGATTAGGGTTAGGTTTAGGGTCAGGTTTAGGGTCAGGGTTAGGTTTAGGGTTAGGTTTAGGGTTAGGGATAGGTTTAGGGTTTAGGATCCAGGTTAGGGATTTGCGCCATCAAATTTTTGCTCATTTTTCAAAAATTTCAAAAAAAAAATTCAAATTTTACTCGTTTTTTACAATTTTTTTTAAAAATCATTTTTCTTAAATTTCAAAATTTAATAGTTTTTTTACAATTTTTTTAAAATTACAAAACCAAATTTTTCGTTGATTTTTTATTTTTTTCCGAAAAAAATTTTTTCTTCCATTTCTTTACATTTTACATTTTCTTTAAAATATTTTTCACAGATTACTATATATTTGTGTGTTTTCCTATCTTGAAAATTAAATTTTCTTGTAATATTGCTTATTTTCGATCTTTCGGTAAGTTTTTTGATAAAACGCATTCTCCCCAACCGTTCCCTTTTTGTACAATACGTGTCTTTGCACTACTTTTTTTTTGGGTCGGCCGCCATCTTGGTTGACATGATCCGTGACCTTCACACGGATCATGTCAACAAAGATGGCGGCCATGCTTGGGAAACCCCGGGTACCACTCTCATCATTTACCCATTTTAAAAGTTACATTTTGTTTACACATTTTTTATTGTGCATGGTTTTGAACTTAAAAAATTGAATATCTCAAAACAACAAAAATGTGACCCTGCCGTTTTTTCCCTTGTGGTCTTCACATGGGTGCTGGATTTTTTTCTTGGCCGACGCTCAAGTGGTAGATTATCTATAGAACTATATTTAAAATAGAATTAAAAAATACAATAAAATTATAAACATAAACGTATTCTTACTTGCTTTAAGATGTACGTCATATTGTTCTTCGTGTTTCTTCAACGCTACCGGGTTCATGAAAGTCTTCTAAACATGGCAGATTTCTCGATTGATAGTAATGGCTCTCTAAGATGGCTAACCAACAAGAGGTATTCGTCATAACCGTCACGTGACCAACCGAATATTATAAAGCCCTCACGTGACCAGCCGGGTACCTATGGCCACTCCGTTCTACTATTTTATTGAGTTACGCATGAAGATATATATATTATATATATCCATATTTCATATCTTTGACGAACATTAACACAATCAAATTTCTTTTGCTCAGAATAAAACTCGTTTCGTTGCCGCCAATTCTCTTTTGCATAATCAAATTATCCTCAAATAAAACATTTCATTTTACGTCATTTCGTTGATGATTAAAAGAATTTTTAAAATTTAAATTCATTTGAGACATTACACAAGTATTTTCATGAAACATTAAAATTATAGGCGGATAGGACTAAATGACTTATTAGACTGTTTAGGAACATAACAATGTTAGTAAAAGAAAGGAAAAAGAAACAAAGATAAATTTGAATTTTACTTTATTACTCCTAAATAAAATAACAATATTTAAATTAGATATAAATTAAAAACTTAATCTGAGTTAAAATTTTAAAAATGTGTACATCAATTTTAACTCTTTTTTTTTTTTTTGTGATAATTTTTTTTATTTTTTAAAAAGGTTATGAGGTTGATTACAAAAAAAAAAGATGACATTAAACTTCTTTCTTTCGTTTAAATTAAAAACTTAATCTGAGTTAAAATTTTAAAAATGTGTACATCAATTTTAACTCTTTTTTTTTTTTTTTGTGATAATTTTTTTTATTTTTTAAAAAGGTTATGAGGTTGATTACAAAAAAAAAGATGACATTAAACTTCTGTCTATCGTTTACTGCAGGCCTACACAAGATACGGCCCGGCCCGGGGGCCACATGCAACCCGCCAGCACCCATTTGGGGCCTGCAAAGTAACTAAATATTCTTTATTATAATTTTCTTTATAGCTTTCCCCCTTATCCTATTATTTTTTGGCCCGCACAAGTTTTTCATAAAGTATTACGGCCTGCCTTACATTTTGAGTTGTGCATTCCTCAATAAAATGAAGCAAACTTGAAATAAGCAGTGATTCATCTTACTTTTGCCATTTGCCCCTGGAAGTCCTGTCCATAAAAACTGACCAACACAAATATTTCCTTCTGATGTTAATTTAAGCACATGAATTTTTTTTTTAATGCTTTAAAAGGGATGGGAAATAAACATAAGAATCCAGGATTCAGTGAATCAACTGTACTTTTAATATAAAGTTTTAAAAATTCTGTCTCTTAACATCAATAAAAAATGGAATTGTGTAATATATAAGCTTGAGCAAAACTCTTTATTTTCTCAATGCAAAAATATGTTGATTAAGGAATTTTAGAAGGAGGGCACAAAATGAGGAGTAATGAATCCCAGAACATCTTTGATTGTAATAATGAAACATTAATTACATTTAATAAATGTTTTAACAAGCAACACATGAATGTCCATAACATTCGTACCTGTCAGACCCGTCACCACTAAACTTGTACCATTGCTTATCTTTGATAGCAGCGTGTGAGTGTCATTTCTTGCTAGGTAATCTTCTACCTTTAAACCTGACCTAAAGGCATGTGAAACAAAATCTATGCAGACCACACCACCCGCTGCTGATGTGGGTCCATCCTGCCCATCTGTCCCTGCAGACAGGAACGCGACACTTGTGAATGAAGGGTTCTCCCTCTGTTTGACCAGCTCTGATGATTTCTTGTCGAGCTCTACGGCAGCAGACACCGCCATTTCTTGGTTTCGTCCCCCCTTACCCTCCCCTCTCACGTTGACCGTCGTTTCCCCCCCAGCCACCAAACAAATTCCCTGCTTACGTGACATTTTAACAGATGTGGCCAACTGGACTATTTCATCCACTTTCTCTTTGGCAATACACAAAGTCAGTAGAGAATTTTCAAGCGCTTTCAATTTAATTAATTCCTCTTCATTTTGTGATTGAAAATAAATGTGTAAACAATGTCCAAGTCTGGCAAACCATTTACCCACTTCCCGTGCCTCCCCCTGGAGTTCAGTACTCAAAATGTAGGGCAAGTAACCGAAGTCCAAACTTCTGATACATGAAGCTTCACAAGCTATTTTGTTGGTGCCAACAAGGATATTCTGAACATAAGACCAGTCCATCAAATGTCTTGCACATTTAGTATTTGTACTCATTGGTCCCACTGAAGTCTGCTCAACTTTTCCTTGGATAAGTTTTAAGATGGTTTCAGGTACAGATTCTGTAATGCTCAATTTTGAGAAAAGGTCCAGGACATCTTGTGGTGTTGTGGAGTCAGGTACTGTTGGTCCACTTGCAATAAAGTCCAGCGGGTCTCCGATAACATCAGAAAGTATAAGGGAAATTACCTGAACAAATTTCAAAATCAAAGCAAATTAAAGATTAATAATACAATACAATTTTTTAAAATATAAAATACTAATACCTTTAAACTTTTCATTACTAATACCTTAAAACTTTTCATTAAAATCTATTAATCATCTTCTAACAGGTATTTTATTAAGGATCTTCCAAAAGGTTTTTTTGTGCTTCTTTCTTTGTTCAAAACATTTTAACTTATTAAAAAATATATTAGGTTCCATTGATCTCCATTAAATAAGGGCTTGTGTTATGTTTGTATACTGATGTAATACTGAAACACTAACCTTAGCTGGGTACGCCAACTCCGCTAAGCCTCCACCCTTTAGAATGTCAATGTGTTTGCGAACTGTGTTAAGATCCATGATACTGGCCCCTGACCTGGACATGAGTTTAGTAAGACACAGAATGTCCTCTAGAGAAACTGGTGGCTCTGGGGCTGGCAAGAGTGCAGATCCTCCACCTAAATGACAGAATGTGTGTTTGTACACACCATTTACAGTAGATATAAGATTGTTTTAATAATTTACTCCTTCAACTTTATATTGAAAAAACTGATGAGTTACTTTGGTCAATATATGGAACGTAAGAATGAGAAAAATATTAAATAAAGTTCTAATACATTTTAAAAAAATGTCTTGTAAAGATTATTAAGCTTCAATGTTACATAACGTGTAACTTTGCTTCTACTGTATTTTGTTTTACATTAAAAAAATCTACAAGAACTTGGAAAATGGTGATGCCATTTTAAAAGTTTAAAGTAACAACGGCCAGTCTCACCTGATACAAGTACCACCAGCACATCCCCTTGACCCACTTCTTTGACTATTTCTGTTATCTCCAGGGCTGCCTGGTGGGCACTGGCATCAGGCAGATTGTTTGCTGCACCTTCAATCACATTGATTCTTGTGGAGGGCATCAGAAGCATGTCCCTAGGGAGCATAACCTCTTTTTTTAAACATCAAAGTTCTCAATCCTTAGCCTAATCAATTTATTAAGTAACTGATAAATAATTAGAACTTGATGGGAACATTTCTTTCATGTCTTTACTTATAAAATATTCATTAAAAGCTGAAAATTTCTGTTTTAATTAACAATGTTCCTGGTTCATTTAAAAATATATTTTAAAATGCAATTGTAAGAAATTAATTTTTTTACAGTAAAAATTATTTTGTGCAAGGAACAAAAGTCATGCTACATTTTTAGTGAACCAAAAAACTAAATTAGACCCATTCAAGTGTAGCTAATATTATGCTGTTATAAGTAATAAAGAAGTTCAAAACAGCACAAATCTGGTGGCATAGCTGGGATAAGTGCCACCAGGGGCTGCCATGATTTTCGCCACCACCTTTCCATAAAAACTCTACAGTTGGTCAATACTGCTGCCCCTCCAATAGAGAAAAGAAAAGAGCCCCGAGGCAAAAACTCCCCTGCTGCTCTCTGTTCCTACGCCCAAGTTCTAAGCTTAAACGAAGTGTTTATAAGATTGTGTAGTAGTTTTAGTGAGAACTAACGCTCAGCCATTTAGGTGAGTTACAAGTATATTGATAATGACTTTTGCTTACTGTTTGCCTGCCTGACTCAAAGCTTGCTGTATGCCGGCTGGTACACTGATGACACCCTTCACTATCTGGTCACCAATGCAATCTTCCAGGGCTCTGGCCATCCCAAGGACAGCCTTACCAAAGCCCACCACATAGAGATTACTGTTAAGCTTGTACTCCAGGCCATTAGCAGTCAGTGTAAGGGTGTTTGGGTTGTAGTGAAGCTTCTGTTAGGGGGAAATCATGCCAACTTGAATAATTAATTCATCTATTTAGTGATAGTCATGTTTTTTTAAAATCATTGCAACTGAGTTAGATATTAGAGATGGAATCAAACTGAACCCGCACCGACCACCAAAATCTAGCCCCATCGATGACCAAACAGAAGCCAAACCCTGCTGACAACAGAACTTGAACCGAACTAAAACATCAATGTTACTGAGTACAAAACCACCCGAGTGAACCTATTGTAAACTAATTAGAACCGAAAATGTTTAAGGAATGTGGCACATCATTACTTAAACCATGTTTGCTTATTTTTTTAATTAAAACGAGTAAACCCAAAAGCCAACAATTTTTTGTAAACCAAAATGATTTTTGTTTAATCATCTCCTACCCACTTCTCACCCCTCCCTCCAAACCTTGTTTCGCTTGGTTTGTATTAATGCAACACATATTAAACAACTTATTGTAGCTCACACTTTTTCATCCTGTGTTAGCAACTTTTACAGTTAAAAAACAAAGTCCTTTCAATAAACATAAACAATTTCAAATTAAACCCAATACAAATTTATGTTTCCCTACTCCTTCATTTTCATTTAATTTTAGCGACCCACTCATTATTTATAGTTATATAAATCCTAGTGTAGTAAGAAAGCTAAAGAAACTGTATTTTTTTCTTTTTTACTGTATTTCTATTTTAAAAGTTTATGTTTCTAAAATGTAATATTTCTTTTATTTAAATTAAAACTAGACTACTTTTTTAAAGTGTGATAATTACATAAGGGGCCAAACTTCAGTGGTTGCCAAACAAAACCTGAAGCTGTAGTTGATAAATGATACCGAAGTAAACTCAAAATTAAACCTTTATAGAACCAAACCCAAGCTGAACCGAATCCAAACGCCTTAAAAGAGGACTCGATCCTCAATTCTATTTGGTATCCTTGATAAATTAAATTCAAATAACAACATTGAAACATTCCTCATAACTTTTTGATAGTTTTAACAGCAATAATTAATTTGTATCATTTTATGGAAATATATATCATAAAAATTAAAACTATCATTGGGCAAAGAGAAAGTGGATTGATTTTACAAATCAATTAATTTTAAAAAATGTTAAAATTCTAACATTAAGTTTGTCTAACAACATTTCATTTAATTAATATCCTATTATCATTAATATTCCATTTATCGTACAAAGAGGTAGATCTAATTTTCTACTTACACTCCATATCATTTGCTGAGGAAGAACAGAGCTCACAGCATGGTAGAAAATCTCCCTGGCTTCATTCATAGCTTGACCTGTCACTTCAGCAGTCCTAGAGTCAGGGTCAGCAATACATTTAGCATTTGATAGTGCCGACATATCTTTAGTGGCAGATTCTATTAGTTTGTCTGCCCCTGAACATGTATTCATTGTATGGTGATGAACTTTTGTTTGATGCGATGAAGTTAATCCATTATACTTATACAGAGCATGGCTACCAATGGTTGGGCAATAGGATAATTGTCTTTTAAAATGGTAATGACCACTAACAAATTGTTTTACAGTAAATAATTTAGGAAGATCTCCAACTTTTGAGTGAGTTTTTACAACTTGTACTGTTGTTTTGAAGTAATTCAAAGAAGTTAGAAAAGAAAACATCTGTAGAAGTTGACTGAAAATCCTCTGGATCCAATACTTATAAATACAACTTGATACAGCACTGCAAAATAGAATTAAAACTGAGTTGAATGGAGATCAAATTTCCTCAAATTCAAATAAATCAAATTGGAATGGAATAGCTTAACTTTAATTTTAGATAAAAGCACTGAGCAGACTTGATTTAAATTATTAAAATTTGAACTAAATGAAGATTAGAACTAAATGAAGACAGGAATGAAACCAAACATGAGCAGTAACTTATGTAATTTTTACAATGAATCAAAATATTGCATAAACTTGCCTTTAAAAGATAACAAAATAACCACAGTGAAGTAAGCTGACCTCTTGAACCAGATGGAATGGCTGTCTTAGCATTTGGCCTACTTCTTAACACATCCCAAAAAGTTAGATAACTCAAGAACAGTAATGTAACCTTGAATATTGAGTGTGTGCCCATGATAGCTTGCCATGCTTTATTGTAAGAAATTCACTTCAAAGCAAAGTTGTAGGTGTCATTAACTTTAACTGTATTGTATAGTTGCATAAAAACATCTAACATATCAATATATATCACTGATAGTTTATGCATGCATGTCATAAATTACTTTTGATGGTGATTTAAATCCCCATCCACTTATAGCCTTTTTTTTTACAAACTAATTTTGTTGGGTGCCTTTCTCAAATTTTAAAACTTATATTTCTAGACCATGGATTGTGATTGCTCTGTTTAATTATATCAACACATACCAGCAAGTGGTAGTATTGACTAATTCATCATTTTATAACTCATTCCATTTTTTTTTTTTTTTTTCACATTTTGTCAAGCAACTTGCAGCATTATTGAGAAATATTACATTTTCACAGACATAAATAAAGTCTATTAAATGGGACCACTTGGGCGAAAATACAGATTATATTTTTATAAAACATTCAAAATAAAACAGTAAATACATTTATTTATATTCCTTTATTATACTTCTATTGTCAATATTACTCAATTATAGATCCTGAAACATCAATAAACACAGAATTGTGAAGTATATAGAGTTTATTGAATGCAGATGTTTGCAAGAGCTTTAATTGGTTCTTACCAAGCATAAACTTGATAACAGTTTAAGAATTTGATACTAATTGTTTGAGGGTTTAATACTGGTTTATGGGTTTGATAATTGTTTAAGGGTTTGATCCCCTAGATGCCTTCATTTCATTATCACAGAAAACCTGCGGCGTGGGGGCGACAACGACGAAAATGACGGGACTTGTGGAGTAAGTTAAGTACACCTAGAGAAAAAATTATTTAACTGCATAGTAAAAACTAAGACATTTTAAAAAGATGTGATCAAGGCTAAGTATCCTCATGAAAATATACTCATGCTCATCAGGATTAACATCATTAACTGTGTGGCCATATAAAGGAGATAAATACCCTCTGTAGTTGAAGACAATGTGGAGTTCCCAAGTTGCAATGTAAAGTTTAGTTGTAAATGCTAGTTATGAGTTATACAATATCAATAAATTGTTTTGAGATTGTCAAAAGCAAATAATAACTTAAAAAGACCATTGCACAGAATAATGCCAAATACCAGCTAATAGTGGAAGCAATGTAAAGAGATAGTTTAAATAAATATTGTGTGAATCAGAAATATTATTCGCATGGCACTGGGGGATACTTCATGATGCACATATTTTTTTTTTTAACTTTTATTATTGATTGAAACAGACAAGATAAAAGAAATGTGTAAATATTGACATTAATTTTAAATGCAGCATACATTTTATCTTAAGGATGCATTAATGTCATTCAAACCTAAAAAGTTAAAGTCAATCAAATAAAAAGTTACAGTAACATAACAATAAATACTTACTTTTGCATAATCAGTAAAGTGTGTACCTCCAATTACAGTGAAATATAAAAAAGATCTAACAACAGCTGTAGATCAGGTAATTAAGAGTTATCATCTATACCAGGCCTGCACAACATACAGCATGCGGCCCGCCAACACCCACTTTGCGGCTCGCGAAGTAACAAAATATTCCTTATTATTATTATTTTCTTAATGCCCCCCCCCCCCCCCCCCCTATTTTCTTTCGGCCCGCACTAGTTTTTCATAAATTATTACGGCCCGCCATACATTTTAAGTTGTGCAGGTCTGATCTATACAGTTAAATTACAATATGACCAATGTACACTGTCAAATCCATAAACTCTTTAACACAAAATGGTTTCTTATATGCATGTGAAGGATATGTTAAACCATTGTGTTCATTTCTTAACTCCACTGATACTTCTTCTCTTTAGGCCTCTGAACCATGAGTATAACCATATCCATTATGTTAGTGCCTGTCAAATTGGTGCGGATCAAATTTTTTCCATCATTGACGCGCATGAAGAAGTTATAAGAATCATTGTTTTTGAGGTGTTCGGCCATGTCCAGCTTCTTGTCCTCCACCAATTCCAGCAGGGACTGATCAATAACAGCGCCGGCCATCTTTGTCACACCATCATGGCCGTCCGAGTCACAGCTAAGGTAGCACATCTGAGATTCTGCAACATTCATTTCTTTGACTCTGAACTCTTCATACAACTGAATGGCTGCTGCCAGGGCTGACTCCATGCACTTTCCCCCAACACCTGCGCCGGAAACGCTGATGTCAATCTCCCCCCCAGATATAATGCAAATATCTTTGTTCATGTTGTGGGCTCTGTCAACAGAGTTACTGATGTGGTTGATCCACTTTTTCCTGATGCCTCCACGAACTAATTCTAGTTCTAGCATGGAAAGCTCCGGGTTGGGCTCCAGACCTGCCCGTCTGTGCAAAGATAGTCACAAAACTAGAATGATGCATTTTAAAATATTATTTGTATGTAAAACAAAATAAAAATCTATAGACGTAGTTTTTTCTCCTACTCTTAGGATGACAGGTTTTCTTTTATTATCTTAGAACCATATGAACACTTATCTCAATCATAAATGTTGACATGTGTCTGAAACATTTATAGTTGTAATAACTTGGCTAGAGCTTAAGTATCAACTCAAAAAACCTTATGTTTTCCTGTTACTTAGCGTGCTTGGTTGCAAGAATGATTGCTACATTGATTTATTCGCTACTTTAAACACTTCATTGTTAATTCATCTGCTAAATCTAAAACAATAATTTATTGCCAAGAGAATCCAGAAGATAGGTAATTACTTCAATGAGAAAATTAATAGTAGAAAGTTTGATCCAACTGTTGATGATTTGATCTAGACACATTTTCACAGACTTAAATATTGAATGACAAATAAGCTGTGAGTTCACATAAGTATAATTAATTATTAATAAATTTGCATGGTCATAACAATGGCAGGTTATTAGAATTGTGTACAACAATGTTCACCAGTTATTCTTGACATTTCACTCCTTAAACTAAAAAAAAATATTGCCTAAAATATTCTCTAACAATTTAATAAATTGACTGACCTGTCGAAACACATCATAACAAACTTGGTCAACTTGGCAAACAGAAATCCTATGTCCCTGGCTTCTCCTGTCAAAACTGTGGTTAGAATTAAAGGGAAGTAGCCTAGTTCAGATGCTCTTACTATAGCAGCCTGGCAAGCAATGGAGTTATTCCCCACAACAATGTTTTGAACATCTTGCCAAATGGCATCTCTCTCGGCCTTGGCCTGCAAGGGATCATGAATGGTCTGTGCCTTTGCAATATTTATTTGTTTGGCTTGCCTTTCTAAAAACTTGCGCACATTGTCAGGAACTTTGTCTATGATGGCTAGTCTCTGTAGAATCTCAAGGCAATGGTGTGGGGTGGGCTGTGTAAGACATGTTGGGCCACTGGCCACAAGATCTGCTGTGTCTCCAATAACAGATGAAAGCACAAGGGACAGAACCTGTAGATACAAGTTTGAGACTTTTTTTGTTATTTTTAGTTTCTAATACACAGAAGCTATTTCAATTTATGGCACTATCTGTTTAAGTGAAACAACATTTTCTGTTCATACAGAATCAACTGCGATGTACAAGTACAAGAAATAGTATTAAAAATAACAAGCCAAGAGAAAACATGCAGAGACTTCAGCCTCCTGAAGTATTGAAAGTAATTAGCCCAAGTCATACTTACTTTTGCAGGTCTTGCAGCTAAAGCCAGTCCCCCACCTTTCAGCATTTCAATATTTTTGCGAATGATGTTCATTTCTTTGACATTAGCTCCATTTTGCCATAACAGTTCAGTAGTCAAATGCAGTTCTTTGAGAGTAATTGGTGGATGTGGAGATGGACACAATGTGGAGCCTCCAGCTGGAGATAATTAAAAATAGTTTTTACAAATCTGGCTTTAGTACATTTTCATCTGTTTCAGATGATTTGTATAAATTTAGATTAACTGTTCTTGCAAACGAGAAGAGTGAATTAATGCCACCTTTCTTCAGTTTGGCTCTAATCATTCCCAATCATTAAAGTATAAATGATTAACATTGATGGCAGTAGGGGCATCATTTATTTTAAGAAAATAGATTCTAGATTCTTCATTGCTTGTCTTGGGACTGTGTAGTCAACAGGAGTGTGGCAGTCCATGACACAGCTTTAGAGCATGGAGATGGCAGTATTTTTCCCACACTGATGTAATTGATCTATTATCTGTAATTCTGAACTCTACCTGTCCTTATCCCTGAATGATCTGTAATCCTGAACTCTACCTGTCTCTACCCCTGAATGATCTGTAATCCTGAACTCTACCTGTCCTAATCCCTGCTTAATGCTGACCAATTTCCGATATCAGTGTTAGATGATGTCACGTTTTCTTTTGCTTAAATACCTGTGTTGCAGGCTGAGACCTCCTTTTGCCAGGATCAAGTTGTCCTTTGACATTGTTCTTGGGTTCTTGCCCAACCTCAATTCTACTGGCATAGCCGAGCCAATCTACACTGTTCAACAATTGTCATTTTAGGCATTAGTGTAAAGCCAAGTGCATTATTGTAGGTTTAAAGGTCGCCCTAAAATATTTCTTTTACCGGTATTTAACTACTTATGTGATTGTCACAGAACGGTTGTTACGGAGGAGGGCTCCGGTCCTGACTTATCACGAACTGTGTTGACTAAGTAGTGGTCAGTACAGGACCGCTCCTCTCTGTGATTTATATGGTTGGTGTCTAGGCGTTAAGAAAGACAAAAGCACAACGAAATCCAACAACTCAAACTCCAGGTGTCCAACGATAATGAAAGTGTGTTTATTTCTAAGATATAAGTTCTTCTGTTGGTTCCGCTATGAATTTCTAAACTGTTTCGTCTGAACTATTTCTATGTTCTTCTAATCATCTGTCGTCTCCTGATCTCTAGCAACTATTCCCTAACAACTGCTCAACTCTATCATATCTCTTTGGTCTCTCTTCCTCAACTAACGTCGTAACTCTGTTCCCTCTTCCTCAACTAACTTTAACTCCGTGAAAGCTCTATCTTATATGTGATTCTCTACCTCCATAGGTGGTCCAGGAATGCTATCTATAAAAACACCCCTGCCCCCTAATTTCCGGTCAATTAGAACTTCCCGTTGTTAACCCAAAATTTATCATGCCAAGTCATGGAAAGAAACCATTCCCTCTATCTCCAAGATGTGACAATCTATTAACCTTAATTTACCCCCATAACAATGGCGTCCCTAAACTAACAGCAGTTTCCGTCCGTCCAATAAGTTATCTTAACAACAATGGAGCTCTGTCCTGTACCCCCACCCCAGTCATTTGTGACAGTGATCACGAGCTGATACTGAATGCAATCAGAAAAAAAATGTTTCTTCATTTTCATACGATTAGGCCATGTACAGCAATTGACATCAACATAAATATATTTTGATATCTTGTGTTATAAATCTAATTGGGTTGTAACACTATTTGTATTATTAAAATTGACTCTAAATAGGTTTCAGTTATTTACCTGAGCAGAGTACTATAAGTACATCCGTCTCAACTAGGTTGGAAACAAGTCCATGGATGGCTTTTGAGGCATTATGTCCAGCCTCATCCACCTCGTTATCACTGGCACCTACGTACACTTGTATCTTTGTATCTGGTGCCAGGAACATTTCACTGGGGAAAGAAACATGCAGCTAATGAAATCAATATTATGCCTCTAAATGCATACACTTTACAGGGAGTTATTTAAACAAAACTTAAAGACAAGTTAAGAACCACATATGATTTATGTGTTCTACAGTACTTTATAAATTAAATAATGCATTCTATGTCTACAGTTGCAGGGAATGTGTGGTGGCGGTGATTGTTAGTTTAAATCTGATATCATAAACAACTTTTTTCTGCATGAGGGTCAGTGTATTAGTGTAAAATGTAGCTTGTATGATTTGCTGAATAATGATTAAGTATTTAAAAAAAAATCTCAACAGTTATAAAGTAAAACAATACAGGAACATAAAATAAAAGTATAGTGGGGAAAAAAACAACAACTTTAAAAAGTGATAAGTATGATCTTATAATATAAGTAGAATGAACCTACTTGCTGTATGCATCTTTAATCTCCTCCTGCAATCCTAGAGGAATGCTGATAATGCCTGTGACCACATGTTCTCCAAGCATATCCTCTACAACTCTTGCCATACCCAAAACAGCATTCCCAAAACCAACTATGAACACATTTCTATTGATTGTGTAACACCTGTCTTGGACTTTCAGAGTGGAGGAAATTCGGTTGTAAAGCAAAACATTTTCTATCATAGCCTTAGGCCGCACAGCCCTGATGGCAGACTTAAATATATCAATGGCATCTGGTTTCAGGTCCAATTCTTGTTCTTTGGAGTTAGTGAGACTTGCTTGCTTATTTGTCAAAGCATAGTGACGGCACAAAAAAAATGATGCACTAGTTTTCCTTGTAAACGGTTTATTTGATTCACTGCACGTGTTAAGTCTTGTTGAGATATTTATTATTTTATGGGAATGACAACTATGAAATAATCTCAAAGACTTTGTACAGATTGCTAAACCTCTACTCCAAAAAAGGACCTTTGAAGTGTTTATAATAGTCATTTTGATGCTTAAAAATATTTAAGGGAATCCCACACTTGAAAGAAAGTCTGAAAACATAAATATTGAAAATACAAGAAAAGAGCTCATCTGTCTTGCATGTTCATTTTATTGAGAAACATTTAAATTCGCAATATTTAATTATTTCACATGTAATGACTCCATTACCAAACATCAGTATTGCACAACAATAAACACAATTAAATAAGAGATTCAAGCTTTTTCGGATAAATTTGAGAGAAAGACATTTGTTTACATTTTTCAATTTTTTTTTTTGGGGGTTTTAAAACAATGAGACAAGACATGATGTTTTGGTGGCTGTAATTTGAATAGAATAATAACAAAAGTAGTAAGATCAAAATTAGTTTTGATGTGAATTGTTATATGGCATGTATGCATAAGCCCATGCCCAGAGGCCATAAATGTATCATTTTATTAACTAAGTAGCCTGTACTGGAGAGGAGTGGTGGGGGCCCCCAGTTGCTATGGATTATAATAGTGTAAATATAAGCCAATTTAATTAATGATTATTATCTTTACTTTGTCTAAATTATATTCCATTCAGTTATTGATAGGCTCATAACTGTTACTGATAGTCCCATAACTATAAGCTATCATTTAGTGCCTAGTGTATTACTTTTATTCAGTCATATTTTTTTTAAAGAATCACAACCAACTCATTTCATTAACATAGCTTCTCTTTTTATTACAGAGGCTTTCGAATCAACAACAATTTTTAAAAACTGCAGGCCTGTTTATTATTAAAAATCACTGTCACATACATAGGAATAAACCAACATAGTCCCAGTGCTGATACTAATATACTAAATCAATAATGACCTTCTCTGCCCTTGTTGCGAAACAGGATACATTCCCCAGGTCATGAGAGATCCCGACATCTTAACATTTTACCATTATAAAGGAAACCGCAGCAACTGTAATAGTTACCAAGGAATTTATCTTCTTAGCTTAGTTGGAAAGAGTTTTGCCTTTGTTGCCCTTAAGTTATTGCAGTCTTACACCCCATCTACCTAGAGTCCCATTGTGGCTTCTGATGTGGTCATTCAACAATAAACATAAGTGTTTTGAACAGGATGGGCCTCTTTACATTGCTTTCATAGATGTGACTAAGTCAATTGACTTGGTAAGCCGGAGTAGTCTGTTCTGGGTCTTGCATAAAATTGGTTGTCGCCCCACAAATGCTGGGAACCATAAAGTCAATTCACAAAAACATGCACTGCACAGTAACCTTCAATGGTGCAGCCTCTGAGGCATTCCCAGTCAGCAGTCGAGTTAAACAAGGCTGCTTACTTGCACTAACACTCTTCTCCATTTTCTTCTCAATGCTCTATCAGTTTATCTTAAGGGACTGTGAAGACGGAGACCACATACATGCCAGATCTGAATTTAGGCTGTACAATATCGCCTGCCTTCGTGCAAAGACCAAGGTAAAAAAAAAAGTTTTTATCTATGAACTGTTGTTTGCTAGATGCTGCCTTAACATGACACACAGAAGAGGGACTGCAACAGATTTAGTAAATCGCTTCTCCAGTGCCTGTAAGGAGTTAGGAATGAAAGTCAGCCTACAGAAAACAAATGTCATGGGTCCTCTAGCTCACTCTCCATTGATAAAGAGATAAACACCAGGATCACCTAAGCAGCAACTATGACTAAATTGATTAGGCAGTGAGAAACTTCAAGGTAAAAGCACAGTTCATGTGCATAGATTATTCCTGATCCAATTTCGTATTTTTGCATGTAAACTTATGCTAATTCTTTATAAAAGTATTCTTAAAAGTAAAATATCATCTTTTTGTTGGAATACAACAATAATTTTAAAAATTTATGAGATTAAAAAAGTACAGCAGAATGCTTGTAGAATGTATAAATACAAACAAATAAGTCATTTTCTTTTCTATATTTATTGTTTGATCATATTATTTTATTGTAATGAAAGGTTGGGGGAAAATGATAAAACCAGTTCACATAAAAAATGATTCTGGTGATCGTTTTTTTCGAGGCAAAACTTCGTCATATGTTTTGGCATTTACGCCATCTAAGGACAGCTTTAATTTGTGAATTTGCCACAGTGGACGATAAGTGTAATTGTAATAACTTTCCTCCTATCTCAGCTTATAATATCTTTGACACAGAATACCCTGATCTCGTTTTACAAAATCCAATGACCAAGTCATCTCGAAGTGTTATCCTTGAATTGTTTCATTGCGATTTTGCCTTCGTCAAGATTGCTCCATAATAAAAAGTTTAGGCTAAGGTTCCAGGGTGCAAATGGTGGCGCTGCATGCCTTGGTCCATTTTGATTCAATGCTATTCGGATGTCATTTGTGGTAGTTTATATTAATTAAACTGAAGAATTAATTTTACAAACATATAGGCCATTCAATTATCTTTCATTTGATTCCTCATTTTGTCTTACAAACCCAACAATAATATTTTAAATAGTTTTTTAATCCCAACCTCTCACTTCTGGTACCCGGGTACGAATAGCCACTTCGCTTACATAAATAAAGTTGAAGGCTTAGATTACGGTATAAACTGCTTCATGTATTGATGGATCTTAGCCAAAATTTGCCAAAACCCTTCATAATCCCACCGGGGAAAAGGATACCTCCAAAAAAGTGATCTCACTGAGGAACAGGATTCTAACGAGGAACAGGATCTAATTGAAAAAAACATGATCTAATCTGGTAACAGCATCACAATATAGAATAGGTCCCAAGCTGAATGGAACGGGATCCCACCGGAGAACAGGACCCCACCAGGGAATAGGATCCCAATGGGAATAGAGATCTCACTGAGAACAGGATCCCAACAGGTATGGGATCCCACCGGATTTGGGTTCCTCCCGGGAAATTGGATCCCATCAGGATAGGGATGCCCTGGGTTGGGATCCCTATGGGGTTGGGATGCCACCAGGAACGAGATCCCATCTGGAAATGGGATCCTATTGTATCAGGATCTCATTGAGATAAGGATCTCAAGGTGGAGAACGGGATCACAACTGGGACCATGCCGGAGCCTTTATTTGGAGTTATATTTATACCTCTCATATAAGAAACAAAAAACAACAAAAAACAAAAACTTTTGGCCCCTATTCCAATTAAGTTCCGCCCCCCCTCCCCCCCCCCCCCCCCCCCCTTTGCACCCAGTATTTCATTCTTTTTGTGAACATCCCTACAGTTTGAATATTTCATTTAGCATACTTACTTATAGGTCATTAAAAATCTGGCAATCGGGTTAAAAAAACAAATGGGGCTATGTAACTTTGGTTTGGGAGGTGTTCAAAGACGCTTTAGACATCAAATAAAATTTATAAAAAAAAAAAAAGACAAAATATGAAATGCTTTAAGAAATAATATACACACCTGAACTGCACTTATACGCTATTCTAAACTCACTGAAAGCACAAAACTAAGCATCTATACTATAATGCATGTGTGCTCAACATGCCCCTATTTGGCAGTTAAGTGTGGACTACATTAATTTGTACTCAACAGCTTCCACTAAAGTAAAGGTGTCTCTGGCGCATTCTGTGAATTCTATTGTAGGAAAAAAACAACCTAACACAGAGGTTCTGGAATGAGCCTTATTGTGCAGCATGTTCTCTGCCCTTAGTAAGAGGCACCTTAGCTGGTTAGGCCATGTAAGGAGAATGGAGGAAGGCCATATTCCAAAAGTAAAAGGCCCTGCTGTATGGAGAGCTGGGGAAGACTTAATGGATGAACACAGCTGGGCTTTAAGGACATATGCAAAAGGAAAAAGGGGGAAGCCTACATAAAAATTAGCAAATGGGAGATCATCATGGAGATCATCACTGATACTGTTCCGGTTGGCAAAAAGCAGTGCATGAGGAATTAAAACAGGTAGAAGAAGATGCGCAAAATGAAGCTCTTGATGAAACACAAAGAGCATTAAATGGCTAAATTAAACCAGAAGTCAAGGTTTTCCCGTGAGAAGTGCAGCCAACACTGCCATTTCAATTTCAGGATCAGCCTCATTAGCCATTTGAGGAATTATCAGTAAGCTACTCAATTGTCTCATATAGGCGGAAGGATGAACATACACTTATACTTATAGATACTTATTAACTTATAAGTCATAATAATATAGTACAGTATAGTAATAGCCAATTCATTTATTTTTTGTTCCACTTTAATTTTTAGCAGGTTATTTGGCTAATTTGGAGAGATAGTACCCTGACGTCGTTTGCGTGTCTTGTCCCTAGTTCCGATTGGGTCAAAACTCTGGTTCCGATAGGGTCAAAACCCTGGTTCCGATAGGGTCAAAACCCAGGTTAGGGATAAGTTTAGGGTTCAGGTTAGATTTAGGGATAGATTTAGGGTTTAGGTTAGGTTTAGGGATACATTTAGGACATAAATTTTGCGGGTCGCCGCAACCATGATGGTACTATCTCTCCAAATTTACAGGTTATTCTTTACACTTACTGACATAAAAAACAATATTTTAACTCACCAGTCTATTATTAATTAGAATAATTAGGTTAATTAATAATAGTAATTGGTTTGGTAGATAGTAAAAAGATAGTGACTTTTACCGAGTTCAGTGACAGTGGTGAGTGGTCCACTTTAGTTTTAGGACTCTAGGCTACTTGGGCAGTTGCACTTGGGTCAACTAATTACGGTAAAAGTGCAGTTCAGGTATTATTTCTGTTCGAATCTCTTATTTTCCCGTGTAAACTTATGTTAATTCTTTATACAAAGTATTTTAAAAGTTATATACCATCTTTTTATTGGAATACAACAACAATTTAACAAATTCTTACGAGATAAAAAAAGTACATGTTTATGAATCTTTCGTGTTTTACGGAGCCATTGTGGTAAATCAAGGATAACTCTTCTGTCTTTAAAGATACTTTATAAAAGTTGCCCAATTGGATGAATCTTGTTGAAATAAATGATGTATTTATTTTATAACTTTACTATCAACTATAACCGGAGTTGCCTGGGGCTGCATTCAGAAAGAAACATCTGTTCCGTCCTTTTAGTTCACATTGCTATTAAACGAAATGTCAACAACAAAACAACAACACTATAGTAAAAATAATAATAATTAATTTGTCTCCTATTAAAAACAATTAAAATAACTTATGTAAACCTTTCGTTTTTCCCGTTTTCCGATGGCACCCGGAAGGATCATGATGGGATCCCGAACCCGATGTGATTCCGATAGAATCCTGGTCATGGTGGGATCCCGATCCCGGTAAGATACCGATCCCGGTGAGATCCGTTTCCGGTGGTATCCCAAACTAAATGAGATCCCAATCCGGTGGGATCCCGTTTCGGTGAGATTCCGATCCCGATAGGATTTTGATCCTAGTGAGATCCTGATCCCGGTGGGATCCCGATCCAGTGGGTTACCGATCCTGGCGGGATACCGGTTACGGTGAGATCCCGTTTCGGGTGATATGCAGATCCCGGTAATTATGGGGAGCTCACATACTTGACATACGAACCCAGCTTACAAGCCACATTGCAATTGTTACGAGCGCCTTAGGAGAAATTCCAGTTGTATTAACGTTATTTGTTGCCCCACAAGGTGCGCGTATAAACCAAATGCTGCACCATTAAAAATGCCTGTTGCATCAACAATTTTAGTTATTGTTTCTTGGTCGTCCTGCAATTTTAAACAAAATGATCCTACAACCAGCAATACCGCAAAGCCAAAACGAGTCCGTCTTATAATATAAAAAAAATAATCACTAGCCCTCACTTTACTCAGCGCAAATCAGTCACCAGTAATAAGCGCATTTGCATACGAAAAAAGAGGAGGGGTGCTCAAATTAGAGCTGACCAATCACGGACAGCGTATTAGCAGCCTTCAGGGTGATCAGCTTCACACCAGGTCCAGGACAATGATGACGTGTGTGTCCACTGCTTAGTCAGTGATCCACTTCTAATCTGCCCCCCCCCCTTCCCCGACTCGACTTCAAAGGACAACCCCTATATTCCGAGCTCTCTGAGAGGGGAAAAAAAGAAAGTGGGGGGGGGCGCGCTTGTGCGTAATGAAGAATCTAGTATTTCATTCTTTTTTGTGAACATGCTTAGTTTGAAAATTTCGTTTAGCATACTAACTTATAGGTGGCTAAAAATCTGGCATAGCGTAAAAAGAAAAATACAAACAAATGGGGGCTGTGTCCCTTTGGTTGGGGGATGTTTAAAGACTCTCTTGAAGTAAAATAAAAAGAAAAGATGCGATTTATAATCCAGAATTAGTTAACTATAACTGCCTATATTTAATTATTAAAGAATACACGTAAGTTTACATGATGAAAATTTTTTAAAATACGAAATGCGCTTAGAAATAATATACGCACCTGAACTGCACTTTTACCCTAATTACATTTAAATCAGATTATTGATGAATGGGCTCTTACATTTACACTAATAATATAAATATAGGCATACTGACTAAAGTATTAATTTTACTGTTTTACATCCCGTATCACCATATGTATCACTCTCACTTGTTTCACAATCATCAGTATCAGTATTAGTATTTATTATTAGTATCAGTACTAATCAGTACTATCAGCCTTTGATGAAACTTTGGCTTTGGACTTTGCTGGTACAAGTATGCGGTGCCTGTTATTGTTATATCAGTTATTTATTTGATTAATTATAAATTATAAGAAACCAGTGGGTATTACTTACACTAAAAGTTTCAAATCGTTTAAGGGTGTTGGGATATCTTTTTGCTTTAAAAAATACCTCAAACTATTCTCAACGATACAAACTAAAGACTGCCATTGTTATGATTTGATCGAAAAACTAAATAAAAATAAACAACCTTAACCCCACTGAAAATTAGCTCTAAATATCGAAAGGTACCATATTCTGATCACAAGTTGGCACCAAAAAAGCTCCAATGAGAAAATTAATATAATGATTATCATCTAAAATGTGTAAACCTAATAATGAAAACAGCATACACTTAAAATCTATTCATATCTACAAATGATATAAATATCAAATCAATCAATCAATCAAATGCAAGATGAAGAGGTTTGATGCCCTCTCTTTCAACTACTACTGCATTTTAAAATTTTTATTATGATTTATGAGTCTATCTGTCTTAGTCTATCTTTATGATAATCTAGTACTCGTAGAGTAATAAGTAAATAAGTTTCGGTGGCTGGAGTGTAAGTTTACTTTAATTTTATTTTACAGGGTTCCCTAAACTAACATTTCAGGGGGTGATATTAAAAACAGATCAAAAGAACAGAGGAATCACTGACTTTTAAATTATGATACAGGCCTACATGTTATGCATTTTTTATTTTCTTCATTTATATTTTACTTTATAGGCAAATGTAACCAATGTTCCCTCTAACGTTTGTTGGTTCATGTGCAAAATCATACGATTGGGTGCCAAGTTTTACAGCATCAATTTTTGTGTGGGCAAAATGTTACAGCTCACAAACAAAAACACACTTACATGGAACTTTGCTGCGCGGACACTCAAAACTGCTGCGCGGCGTCTAAGGTCATTTTATATTATACTAGTCAATATTGGGTATATACCCGGCGTTCATGGGCGCCCGCAGAAAACTTTCTAGGGGGGGGGGGAGGCCAAAAAATCGATTAACTTTCCAGGGGGGGGGGGCCAAAATTTTTTTAGTAATGTTTTAATAAGTTTTAATTTACTGTAGCGTATTTTTATGGTGAACGAACGGACAGNGGGGGGGGGGGGGGGGGGGGCCAGGTGCCCCCCCTTGCCCCTACCTGCGGGCGCCCATGGCGGCGTTGCACGGGATTACATTAGGACCCCGATCCCATTGGGACCACAATCCCATTCTGATGCCGATCCCGGCACAATCCCACTTACAGGTGTGATCCCATTTTCTTGTGGCTCTGGATCCAGGGGGAGTCCAGATCCCAGTGGGATCCCGATCCCGTCAGTATCTTGATTCTGGTGGGATCCCGATCTTTGTGAATCTCAATGGGCTTCCGATCCCGTTAGGCTAACGTTCTCAATGGGATCCTGTTTCACCTAGGGACCCTCTTTTCCAATTTTATCCCGTTTGCCGATGGGATCTCGGTTTGATCCCGTTACCCGATGGGATCACGTTACCGATGGTTTTCAGTATACTAATGGATCTCGCTCCCCATTAGGATCTTATTCCTCTATGGGATCATGCTCATTGCAATTTTTTTTTTCGAATTAGCTTTTAGATCACGTTATATAACCCCTTAGACCAATATAGAGCCTTCTGGAAGATTCTGGATTTAATTTAATATCCCCCATGAAACCTGTAAAAAATTACTTTTCTAAGTAGTTATTTAAAAAAAACGAAATATTATTCAACTAATTTGCACTACTATAACTATAGTACATTTAAATTAAAATAGGGGCGCCAGTGGGGGCCCATTTAATAAAGCACCTTTTAGTTATGTCTGAGATGGGGGGAGGGGGGCTATAACAATCATTCAGATAAATTATAGAGTTGAAATTTAAAATTTGTCACATTAAAATCGGTTTATAAATTATGCCATAGATAAAGCTTTTTTAAATTATGGCTATAGAAATTTCTGGAACAATCTAGTTTAAATGTAATATCCTCCTCGAAACATGTAAAAAATGTATTTTCTAAGTAATTTTTCTTCGAAAACGACAAATTATACAACTAAATGCATAACTATAGTACATTTAAGTTGAAAGAGGGGCCCCGGGGGGCCCATTCGATAACTGTACCGAATTAGTTTTGCCTGAGATGGGGCCCTATAAAAATCATTCATATAAGTTATGAAGTTAAATTTAAAATTTGTCCCATTAAAATCGGTGTAAAAACACCATAATTATCGCTTTTTAAAATTATGGAACTTTCTGGAAAATTCTAGATTGGATATTATTAGTTTTAAATCCACCAATATTTCAATACGGACTAAGAAGCGTAATGAACAAAGCTAGGCTTAGACCCATAAATTCACATAGAACCTATACCATTGTCTAACCCTATTCATATAGCTTATATAAGGAAAAATGAACTGGGGCCCCTGAGAAATGGATATTATGAGTTCAGTACTCTTCGGTATTTGAATATGGATGATCATGTTTGATCAAGATCCATCCATTCATGTAGTTGTATTAAGCCTATTTATATACGGTAGCTTATATAAGGAAAAATGAAATGGGGCCCCCGGCCCGAGAGGAATGGATATTATGAGTTCAGTACCCTTCGATATTTGAATATGGATAATCAAGTGTATATGTTCTAAGTTTGGTAAAGATCCATCCATTGATGTATATGTTTAGTAATTTTATTTATATAGCTCATATAAGGAAAAAAAGGGGGCCCCAAACGGAATGTTATAAAAAGTTCATAACCCCTTAAGAGTTCCTTCTAGATCATGATGGTCAAGATCTATCAATCCATGTAAAAACGTATGTGGAACAAATCCAGCCAGCCACAAACAAACAAACTTTCACTTTTACATATATATATGAGTGCTTTCAAGCAGGAACATCAATTTGATTGTCCTGTTTTATTCATCAAGCTTTCACTTTCACCTATCTAGTTCTACTATTAAGATCATTTCAGTATTGTATTTTCAAAAACTCTGGCATGAAATGTAAGATTTCTATGTGGCTAGATTAAGTTCATAATCATTATAGTATTTATAGTTCCTGGTTAAAATATGTTATAGGGGAATACTGTTAAACATCAATTAAATTACTAACAATAAACAGAAAACAACAATACTGATTTTCTTTTTAAAAATAAAATGTAATAAAATTTTGTAAATAGACTGTATTGTATATAAATTTATCTATTCATAAGCTTGACAATTGAAGTTACATGTAAAAATTGATTGAAGGAATTCTTAGAACAATAATTAGAAATTAATTATTTTATTTATTTAAATGTAAAAGTTTGTAAAAATATACAAATTAATTCATAACATTTTAACAACCTTTAAAGATCCTAGTTTTGAGTCAAAATAAAAGGCTGCAACTACAGTGCCAAGAACAATGAACTTAATGCTTTGAATCGTTTTAAAAAATAGATTTGTCAACATATGTTTTGTTTAAAATATTTTAAAAAATGTATATCCTTCATCCTGTAATTTTAATTCATGGTTTTCCCTCTTAATTGATTGATTTTCCTACATTTTTGTATACATGAAAAATATATGGCTTGAAAACTTGGAATATATTGAAAAATCAAATTAACTTCATTTTGTCTACCCCTATCTCAAGTTTGTTTTTACTTGTGTTTCATTTTAGATAGGAAATAACTCATATTCATACAGTGAAAATTATGAATTTTAACAATTTTAATACCTACAATGAAATGAAACTATAATTTAAAGCACATAGAAAAAAGTAAAATAAAAATTCCTGATATATTTGAGCAAATCTTGTAATATCACAAAGAGTTCAGTTTGGTCAATATCAAATTAAAAAGGTTTATAAAATCAATACAAAGTTGTAAAAATAAAAATGTTAAGTACTTAGGGAATAGTCATGTAAACAAAATATATTTTGAGATTCAATATAGTAGACTGCAAACTTTGTAGGCAGCTTTTAGCAATTTTGGAATGGAAAGTAAACATTGTTTGCTGTGTATAAATATGTATATATAAATTTCATGATGAATCTCCACATTCAAGGGTTAGCATTTAGTAATGCCAAAATATTTTAAATTGCATATTAAAATAGAAATTGAAAGCATAAATATAAAAATGTCTTTGCTGCATCATAAAAACTGCCCAGATTACAATAAAAAGGCCAAAACAGCCACAGCTCATCAAATTTACAGTTTACAGAATAGTTTACTACGTGCTGAGATGGTTACCATATTAATTTTAAATGTCATATCATTGGGGTAGCCTAAGGCAGGACATTTACCATTATTATTATAGAAAATGAGATAGCATTTGATAGTAAACATAAAAAAAAGTATATTATAAACTTCACAGATTTCAATGTCTAAATACATTAAACAATTTTTGAACATTTTTATGGCACTTTGCCAAATTTTTCTTGTGTAAATATACTGCAGATCTTCTTACTGAAAAAGTCTAGAAAATTAAAAGGAAAAAAACAAACAAATAAAATGCAAAGAAGCTTTCAAATTTAAAATTTAAGTATACTTGTCATGGCAATTTATTTCTTATTTTCCTAATTTTGTCCTTTTGGGTAGAATAAATATCATCAAGAACTGTACATTCATCATAGAAGATCAATTATTATAAGTTATATAAAATTCACTTTCAGGAAACTTTCTTAGGTTAATTGGGTACATGTATTTCATTGCAATTCACAAATGTTTGTCCATTATAAAATAAACACTGTCTTTGAATATCTGTTAACATTGGAAGTAGATAAATAAAATAATATTCATTAACAAAATTGTATGGTAACTGACCGTAATTGGTTTACTTTCATTGGTATAAAATGGTGACATAATTTGATGATCTAAAAACACCCACAGCATTGATTAAACCATGAAAAAAAAAGTTTTAAAATACTAATGTGTAGAGAATAAAAACTTCTTGAGTATAATAAGCAAATAAATCAATTACATTACGTTTAAAACAAATAAAAATTATTATAAAATCTCATTTTGGTAATAGGTAAAAATATTTAACGATTTCTTTGGCAAGCTTAACAAACTTTTTTTTCACCATATAAGGGCTTAAAAAAAAAAAGTCATAATAAAATCTGTAAGCCCCGATGAGGAGGCAGGCAATTTCATTTCATTAATGAGTTAAGTGCTTTGGATACACTGCAGTGGTTCTATATTGTTTCAAAGCAGGAAAACTACCC